CTCTCGCTCGCTCGCTCGCTCTCTCGCTCTCTTCGTGATCCAATCCCATCATCAATCCACACACTATCACCTGTCAAATAAAAACAATCGTCAGAACTGTTCCTCAGAGATCTTGGTGAAAATCACTAATCAACACTGTTATCTAGCATCATTCAAACTAAACCAACACCATCAGAAAATTGACGGACTCACCTCACAATTCTCACAAGTAGAAAACTCAAGTCAACCACATCGACCATCACGATACCTGGCACAATCAACAGACAATCTCGATATGCCAATCCAAAATCAAGTTCACAATCTCACATCTACTCTATGTCGCATTCCTTCGTATTCTCACTGTTTTTCACTGCCTCTTTCCTGTACATTTGAACAAATCACTCAGTCAACACCACACAACACACACCTGAAATAGGAGATACAAAACAAAAATGCATAAACACCATCGCCTCATCAACTAACATCAGACAGTAATGATATCATTGTATCACAAGTAGCAAATAAACATCACTAACAAACAAACAAAAAGAACAACACAACATACCTGTGTCATCGTGACGCATGACCGATAGGATCGCTTCACTAGGCCACATCATATCTCCACATTGCCAATCGCTCATGACCTCCAAACTACTCTCTCTCGCTCGCTCGCTCGCTCTCTCGCTCTCTTCGTGATCCAATCCCATCATCAATCCACACACTATCACCTGTCAAATAAAAACAATCGTCAGAACTGTTCCTCAGAGATCTTGGTGAAAATCACTAATCAACACTGTTATCTAGCATCATTCAAACTAAACCAACACCATCAGAAAATTGACGGACTCACCTCACAATTCTCACAAGTAGAAAACTCAAGTCAACCACATCGACCATCACGATACCTGGCACAATCAACAGACAATCTCGATATGCCAATCCAAAATCAAGTTCACAATCTCACATCTACTCTATGTCGCATTCCTTCGTATTCTCACTGTTTTTCACTGCCTCTTTCCTGTACATTTGAACAAATCACTCAGTCAACACCACACAACACACACCTGAAATAGGAAATACAAAACAAAAATGCATAAACACCATCGCCTCATCAACTAACATCAGACAGTAATGATATCATTGTATCATAAGTAGCAAATAAACATCACTAACAAACAAAAAAAAGAACAACACAACATACCTGTGTCATCGTGACGCATGACCGATAGGATCGCTTCACTAGACCACATCATATCTCCACATTGCCAATCGCTCATGACCTCCAAACTACTCTCTCTCGCTCGCTCGCTCGCTCTCTCGCTCTCTTCGTGATCCAATCCCATCATCAATCCACACACTATCACCTGTCAAATAAAAACAATCGTCAGAACTGTTCCTCAGAGATCTTGGTGAAAATCACTAATCAACACTGTTATCTAGCATCATTCAAACTAAACCAACACCATCAGAAAATTGACGGACTCACCTCACAATTCTCACAAGTAGAAAACTCAAGTCAACCACATTGACCATCACGATACCTGGCACAATCAACAGACAATCTCGATATGCCAATCCAAAATCAAGTTCACAATCTCACATCTACTCTATGTCGCATTCCTTCGTATTCACACTGTTTTTCACTGCCTCTTTCCTGTACATTTGAACAAATCACTCAGTCAACACCACACAACACACACCTGAAATAGGAAATACAAAACAAAAATGCATAAACACCATCGCCTCATCAACTAACATCAGACAGTAATGATATCATTGTATCACAAGTAGCAAATAAACATCACTAACAAACAAAAAAAAGAACAACACAACATACCTGTGTCATCGTGACGCATGACCGATAGGATCGCTTCACTAGACCACATCATATCTCCACATTGCCAATCGCTCATGACCTCCAAACTACTCTCTCTCGCTCGCTCGCTCGCTCTCTCTCGCTCTCTTCGTGATCCAATCCCATCATCAATCCACACACTATCACCTGTCAAATAAAAACAATCGTCAGAACTGTTCCTCAGAGATCTTGGTGAAAATCACTAATCAACACTGTTATCTAGCATCATTCAAACTAAACCAACACCATCAGAAAATTGACGGACTCACCTCACAATTCTCACAAGTAGAAAACTCAAGTCAACCACATCGACCATCACGATACCTGGCACAATCAACAGACAATCTCGATATGCCAATCCAAAATCAAGTTCACAATCTCACATCTACTCTATGTCGCATTCCTTCGTATTCTCACTGTTTTTCACTGCCTCTTTCCTGTACATTTGAACAAATCACTCAGTCAACACCACACAACACACACCTGAAATAGGAAATACAAAACAAAAATGCATAAACACCATCGCCTCATCAACTAACATCAGACAGTAATGATATCATTGTATCACAAGTAGCAAATAAACATCACTAACAAACAAAAAAAAGAACAACACAACATACCTGTGTCATCGTGACGCATGACCGATAGGATCGCTTCACTAGACCACATCATATCTCCACATTGCCAATCGCTCATGACCTCCAAACTACTCTCTCTCGCTCGCTCGCTCGCTCTCTCGCTCTCTTCGTGATCCAATCCCATCATCAATCCACACACTATCACCTGTCAAATAAAAACAATCGTCAGAACTGTTCCTCAGAGATCTTGGTGAAAATCACTAATCAACACTGTTATCTAGCATCATTCAAACTAAACCAACACCATCAGAAAATTGACGGACTCACCTCACAATTCTCACAAGTAGAAAACTCAAGTCAACCACATCGACCATCACGATACCTGGCACAATCAACAGACAATCTCGATATGCCAATCCAAAATCAAATTCACAATCTCACATCTACTCTATGTCGCATTCCTTCGTATTCACACTGTTTTTCACTGCCTCTTTCCTGTACATTTGAACAAATCACTCAGTCAACACCACACAACACACACCTGAAATAGGAAATACAAAACAAAAATGCATAAACACCATCGCCTCATCAACTAACATCAGACAGTAATGATATCATTGTATCACAAGTAGCAAATAAACATCACTAACAAACAAAAAAAAGAACAACACAACATACCTGTGTCATCGTGACGCATGACCGATAGGATCGCTTCACTAGACCACATCATATCTCCACATTGCCAATCGCTCATGACCTCCAAACTACTCTCTCTCGCTCGCTCGCTCGCTCTCTCGCTCTCTTCGTGATCCAATCCCATCATCAATCCACACACTATCACCTGTCAAATAAAAACAATCGTCAGAACTGTTCCTCAGAGATCTTGGTGAAAATCACTAATCAACACTGTTATCTAGCATCATTCAAACTAAACCAACACCATCAGAAAATTGACGGACTCACCTCACAATTCTCACAAGTAGAAAACTCAAGTCAACCACATCGACCATCACGATACCTGGCACAATCAACAGACAATCTCGATATGCCAATCCAAAATCAAATTCACAATCTCACATCTACTCTATGTCGCATTCCTTCGTATTCACACTGTTTTTCACTGCCTCTTTCCTGTACATTTGAACAAATCACTCAGTCAACACCACACAACACACACCTGAAATAGGAAATACAAAACAAAAATGCATAAACACCATCGCCTCATCAACTAACATCAGACAGTAATGATATCATTGTATCACAAGTAGCAAATAAACATCACTAACAAACAAAAAAAAGAACAACACAACATACCTGTGTCATCGTGACGCATGACCGATAGGATCGCTTCACTAGACCACATCATATCTCCACATTGCCAATCGCTCATGACCTCCAAACTACTCTCTCTCGCTCGCTCGCTCGCTCTCTCGCTCTCTTCGTGATCCAATCCCATCATCAATCCACACACTATCACCTGTCAAATAAAAACAATCGTCAGAACTGTTCCTCAGAGATCTTGGTGAAAATCACTAATCAACACTGTTATCTAGCATCATTCAAACTAAACCAACACCATCAGAAAATTGACGGACTCACCTCACAATTCTCACAAGTAGAAAACTCAAGTCAACCACATCGACCATCACGATACCTGGCACAATCAACAGACAATCTCGATATGCCAATCCAAAATCAAGTTCACAATCTCACATCTACTCTATGTCGCATTCCTTCGTATTCACACTGTTTTTCACTGCCTCTTTCCTGTACATTTGAACAAATCACTCAGTCAACACCACACAACACACACCTGAAATAGGAAATACAAAACAAAAATGCATAAACACCATCGCCTCATCAACTAACATCAGACAGTAATGATATCATTGTATCACAAGTAGCAAATAAACATCACTAACAAACAAACAAAAAGAACAACACAACATACCTGTGTCATCGTGACGCATGACCGATAGGATCGCTTCACTAGACCACATCATATCTCCACATTGCCAATCGCTCATGACCTCCAAACTACTCTCTCTCTCTCGCTCGCTCGCTCTCTCGCTCTCTTCGTGATCCAATCCCATCATCAATCCACACACTATCACCTGTCAAATAAAAACAATCGTCAGAACTGTTCCTCAGAGATCTTGGTGAAAATCACTAATCAACACTGTTATCTAGCATCATTCAAACTAAACCAACACCATCAGAAAATTGACGGACTCACCTCACAATTCTCACAAGTAGAAAACTCAAGTCAACCACATCGACCATCACGATACCTGGCACAATCAACAGACAATCTCGATATGCCAATCCAAAATCAAGTTCACAATCTCACATCTACTCTATGTCGCATTCCTTCGTATTCTCACTGTTTTTCACTGCCTCTTTCCTGTACATTTGAACAAATCACTCAGTCAACACCACACAACACACACCTGAAATAGGAAATACAAAACAAAAATGCATAAACACCATCGCCTCATCAACTAACATCAGACAGTAATGATATCATTGTATCACAAGTAGCAAATAAACATCACTAACAAACAAACAAAAAGAACAACACAACATACCTGTGTCATCGTGACGCATGACCGATAGGATCGCTTCACTAGACCACATCATATCTCCACATTGCCAATCGCTCATGACCTCCAAACTACTCTCTCTCTCTCGCTCGCTCGCTCTCTCGCTCTCTTCGTGATCCAATCCCATCATCAATCCACACACTATCACCTGTCAAATAAAAACAATCGTCAGAACTGTTCCTCAGAGATCTTGGTGAAAATCACTAATCAACACTGTTATCTAGCATCATTCAAACTAAACCAACACCATCAGAAAATTGACGGACTCACCTCACAATTCTCACAAGTAGAAAACTCAAGTCAACCACATCGACCATCACGATACCTGGCACAATCAACAGACAATCTCGATATGCCAATCCAAAATCAAGTTCACAATCTCACATCTACTCTATGTCGCATTCCTTCGTATTCTCACTGTTTTTCACTGCCTCTTTCCTGTACATTTGAACAAATCACTCAGTCAACACCACACAACACACACCTGAAATAGGAAATACAAAACAAAAATGCATAAACACCATCGCCTCATCAACTAACATCAGACAGTAATGATATCATTGTATCACAAGTAGCAAATAAACATCACTAACAAACAAACAAAAAGAACAACACAACATACCTGTGTCATCGTGACGCATGACCGATAGGATCGCTTCACTAGACCACATCATATCTCCACATTGCCAATCGCTCATGACCTCCAAACTACTCTCTCTCGCTCGCTCGCTCGCTCTCTCGCTCTCTTCGTGATCCAATCCCATCATCAATCCACACACTATCACCTGTCAAATAAAAACAATCGTCAGAACTGTTCCTCAGAGATCTTGGTGAAAATCACTAATCAACACTGTTATCTAGCATCATTCAAACTAAACCAACACCATCAGAAAATTGACGGACTCACCTCACAATTCTCACAAGTAGAAAACTCAAGTCAACCACATCGACCATCACGATACCTGGCACAATCAACAGACAATCTCGATATGCCAATCCAAAATCAAGTTCACAATCTCACATCTACTCTATGTCGCATTCCTTCGTATTCTCACTGTTTTTCACTGCCTCTTTCCTGTACATTTGAACAAATCACTCAGTCAACACCACACAACACACACCTGAAATAGGAGATACAAAACAAAAATGCATAAACACCATCGCCTCATCAACTAACATCAGACAGTAATGATATCATTGTATCACAAGTAGCAAATAAACATCACTAACAAACAAACAAAAAGAACAACACAACATACCTGTGTCATCGTGACGCATGACCGATAGGATCGCTTCACTAGACCACATCATATCTCCACATTGCCAATCGCTCATGACCTCCAAACTACTCTCTCTCGCTCGCTCGCTCGCTCGCTCTCTCGCTCTCTTCGTGATCCAATCCCATCATCAATCCACACACTATCACCTGTCAAATAAAAACAATCGTCAGAACTGTTCCTCAGAGATCTTGGTGAAAATCACTAATCAACACTGTTATCTAGCATCATTCAAACTAAACCAACACCATCAGAAAATTGACGGACTCACCTCACAATTCTCACAAGTAGAAAACTCAAGTCAACCACATCGACCATCACGATACCTGGCACAATCAACAGACAATCTCGATATGCCAATCCAAAATCAAGTTCACAATCTCACATCTACTCTATGTCGCATTCCTTCGTATTCTCACTGTTTTTCACTGCCTCTTTCCTGTACATTTGAACAAATCACTCAGTCAACACCACACAACACACACCTGAAATAGGAAATACAAAACAAAAATGCATAAACACCATCGCCTCATCAACTAACATCAGACAGTAATGATATCATTGTATCACAAGTAGCAAATAAACATCACTAACAAACAAAAAAAAGAACAACACAACATACCTGTGTCATCGTGACGCATGACCGATAGGATCGCTTCACTAGACCACATCATATCTCCACATTGCCAATCGCTCATGACCTCCAAACTACTCTCTCTCGCTCGCTCGCTCGCTCTCTCGCTCTCTTCGTGATCCAATCCCATCATCAATCCACACACTATCACCTGTCAAATAAAAACAATCGTCAGAACTGTTCCTCAGAGATCTTGGTGAAAATCACTAATCAACACTGTTATCTAGCATCATTCAAACTAAACCAACACCATCAGAAAATTGACGGACTCACCTCACAATTCTCACAAGTAGAAAACTCAAGTCAACCACATCGACCATCACGATACCTGGCACAATCAACAGACAATCTCGATATGCCAATCCAAAATCAAGTTCACAATCTCACATCTACTCTATGTCGCATTCCTTCGTATTCTCACTGTTTTTCACTGCCTCTTTCCTGTACATTTGAACAAATCACTCAGTCAACACCACACAACACACACCTGAAATAGGAAATACAAAACAAAAATGCATAAACACCATCGCCTCATCAACTAACATCAGACAGTAATGATATCATTGTATCACAAGTAGCAAATAAACATCACTAACAAACAAACAAAAAGAACAACACAACATACCTGTGTCATCGTGACGCATGACCGATAGGATCGCTTCACTAGGCCACATCATATCTCCACATTGCCAATCGCTCATGACCTCCAAACTACTCTCTCTCTCGCTCGCTCGCTCGCTCTCTCGCTCTCTTCGTGATCCAATCCCATCATCAATCCACACACTATCACCTGTCAAATAAAAACAATCGTCAGAACTGTTCCTCAGAGATCTTGGTGAAAATCACTAATCAACACTGTTATCTAGCATCATTCAAACTAAACCAACACCATCAGAAAATTGACGGACTCACCTCACAATTCTCACAAGTAGAAAATTCAAATCAACCACATCGACCATCACGATACCTGGCACAATCAACAGACAATCTCGATATGCCAATCCAAAATCAAGTTCACAATCTCACATCTACTCTATGTCGCATTCCTTCGTATTCACACTGTTTTTCACTGCCTCTTTCCTGTACATTTGAACAAATCACTCAGTCAACACCACACAACACACACCTGAAATAGGAAATACAAAACAAAAATGCATAAACACCATCGCCTCATCAACTAACATCAGACAGTAATGATATCATTGTATCACAAGTAGCAAATAAACATCACTAACAAACAAAAAAAAGAACAACACAACATACCTGTGTCATCGTGACGCATGACCGATAGGATCGCTTCACTAGACCACATCATATCTCCACATTGCCAATCGCTCATGACCTCCAAACTACTCTCTCTCTCGCTCGCTCGCTCGCTCTCTCGCTCTCTTCGTGATCCAATCCCATCATCAATCCACACACTATCACCTGTCAAATAAAAACAATCGTCAGAACTGTTCCTCAGAGATCTTGGTGAAAATCACTAATCAACACTGTTATCTAGCATCATTCAAACTAAACCAACACCATCAGAAAATTGACGGACTCACCTCACAATTCTCACAAGTAGAAAACTCAAGTCAACCACATCGACCATCACGATACCTGGCACAATCAACAGACAATCTCGATATGCCAATCCAAAATCAAATTCACAATCTCACATCTACTCTATGTCGCATTCCTTCGTATTCTCACTGTTTTTCACTGCCTCTTTCCTGTACATTTGAACAAATCACTCAGTCAACACCACACAACACACACCTGAAATAGGAAATACAAAACAAAAATGCATAAACACCATCGCCTCATCAACTAACATCAGACAGTAATGATATCATTGTATCATAAGTAGCAAATAAACATCACTAACAAACAAAAAAAAGAACAACACAACATACCTGTGTCATCGTGACGCATGACCGATAGGATCGCTTCACTAGGCCACATCATATTTCCACATTGCCAATCGCTCATGACCTCCAAACTACTCTCTCTCTCTCTCGCTCGCTCGCTCTCTCGCTCTCTTCGTGATCCAATCCCATCATCAATCCACACACTATCACCTGTCAAATAAAAACAATCGTCAGAACTGTTCCTCAGAGATCTTGGTGAAAATCACTAATCAACACTGTTATCTAGCATCATTCAAACTAAACCAACACCATCAGAAAATTGACGGACTCACCTCACAATTCTCACAAGTAGAAAACTCAAGTCAACCACATCGACCATCACGATACCTGGCAAAATCAACAGACAATCTCGACATGCCAATCCAAAATCAAGTTCACAATCTCACATCTACTCTATGTCGCATTCCTTCGTATTCACACTGTTTTTCACTGCCTCTTTCCTGTACATTTGAACAAATCACTCAGTCAACACCACACAACACACACCTGAAATAGGAAATACAAAACAAAAATGCATAAACACCATCGCCTCATCAACTAACATCAGACAGTAATGATATCATTGTATCACAAGTAGCAAATAAACATCACTAACAAACAAACAAAAAGAACAACACAACATACCTGTGTCATCGTGACGCATGACCGATAGGATCGCTTCACTAGACCACATCATATCTCCACATTGCCAATCGCTCATGACCTCCAAACTACTCTCTCTCGCTCGCTCTCTCGCTCGCTCTCTCGCTCTCTTCGTGATCCAATCCCATCATCAATCCACACACTATCACCTGTCAAATAAAAACAATCGTCAGAACTGTTCCTCAGAGATCTTGGTGAAAATCACTAATCAACACTGTTATCTAGCATCATTCAAACTAAACCAACACCATCAGAAAATTGACGGACTCACCTCACAATTCTCACAAGTAGAAAACTCAAGTCAACCACATCGACCATCACGATACCTGGCACAATCAACAGACAATCTCGATATGCCAATCCAAAATCAAGTTCACAATCTCACATCTACTCTATGTCGCATTCCTTCGTATTCACACTGTTTTTCACTGCCTCTTTCCTGTACATTTGAACAAATCACTCAGTCAACACCACACAACACACACCTGAAATAGGAAATACAAAACAAAAATGCATAAACACCATCGCCTCATCAACTAACATCAGACAGTAATGATATCATTGTATCACAAGTAGCAAATAAACATCACTAACAAACAAAAAAAGAACAACACAACATACCTGTGTCATCGTGACGCATGACCGATAGGATCGCTTCACTAGACCACATCATATCTCCACATTGCCAATCGCTCATGACCTCCAAACTACTCTCTCTCGCTCGCTCTCTCGCTCTCTTCGTGATCCAATCCCATCATCAATCCACACACTATCACCTGTCAAATAAAAACAATTGTCAGAACTGTTCCTCAGAGATCTTGGTGAAAATCACTAATCAACACTGTTATCTAGCATCATTCAAACTAAACCAACACCATCAGAAAATTGACGGACTCACCTCACAATTCTCACAAGTAGAAAACTCAAGTCAACCACATCGACCATCACGATACCTGGCACAATCAACAGACAATCTCGATATGCCAATCCAAAATCAAGTTCACAATCTCACATCTACTCTATGTCGCATTCCTTCGTATTCACACTGTTTTTCACTGCCTCGTTCCTGTACATTTGAACCAGTCACTCACTGAACACCACACGAGACACCTGAAATAGTAAATGCGAATCAAGAATACAGGTACACCATAATTGTTTTCGGGAATATTTTTCCTTATTTTATATTGTATAGTGTTTTTTGTTGCGTGGTACGTGATATCTTATGTTGAAGTTGAAAAAAGTAGTTGTAGATTGCTGTTGTCAGTTCATTTCTTCAGCTTGCGCCGTCTATACTACAAGTCGTGGATAGAATATTGAATTTTTAGACAAGAGGCCTGGAGGTTTCAGCGGGGAATACACTTATCCAGTTTGTTGAAAAGTGTTTTTGGATTTCAGGCGGTGTCAGTTCGTGAAAACTTCAAATCTAATTCCTAAGCCTAACAACCAACTGAAAATCACAATTTCTCGTCACTCCTTTTTTGGCACTAGCAAGTAGGTGGACATTACGAAGATTTCAGATTCAGATTCAGATTTGTGTAGTAAGGACAGAAGGCCTACGGCCTATGTTATTCCTTTTCTAGTATGCTTCTGTGAGTGTCCAGTCTTCTCTTGAAAGAGTCAATTGAAGGTGCGGATACCACTGCTTCAAGCAGCAGGTTCCAAGTATTGATGACTCGGTGTGAAAACCTGTATGCCACGGGTATTTTGTTCGTTCTTGGCTTTTCTACTCGCCTGCTATGTCCTCTGAGGTGTCCCGATCTAGTGGGAAGAAAGAGAGAGAATAAGTTAGGTCCGAAATCATTTCTCAGTATTCTGTACATCAAAATTAGATCTCTCCTTAATCTGAGATAGAACGGAGTAAAGAGGTTCAGCTTTTCAAGCCGCCCTTTGTATGGTAAACCGCGGAGTACTGGAATTGCACGGGTAGCTGCCTTCTGTACTTTTTCAAGGATATCCGAGTCACCTTTTAGACAGGGGCTTGCAGCCTGAACGCAGTTCTCAAGCTTAGTTCTCATTAAGGATGTGTATACTGTGGTGAACATGGCAATATCTAACTTGGCGAATGTCCTTTTTAAAGCCTAGAGGGTTCGAAACCCTTTAGCGCCTACCTCCCGGCAATGGGCCGTCGTCTTAAGATCATGGATCACTGTCATCCCTAGATCCATATGAGACCCGACCACGGGTAATAGTGTAGAATTATCGTCTTCTATGATATTAGTACTGCTCTAATAATAGACCTAATCCTAAAATTGTAGATTTGTCATGATATAACTGCCTAATCTATAAGATCTTACGTGGAAGTCACATCATCGTCTACACCAACTCACTGTTTCGTAACAACTACTAATACATGATGAAGAACAAGCTTAGGCTAGAGAAAGAACAATATATTTAATATGAATAAAAGATATAAGGTAATATTCAGAGGGACCACGCCTGCATGGCTGAGCCATGCCATCCGATTAACTTCAATTCATTCGATTCTTTGTTCGCGCCTTCTCCATCGTTAGGTATTTCTCGGCGTTAAATATTGAATATCTATTTTCCGAGTAGTCTCGTGTTCAGCTTTGAGGATTGTGTGATTATGCTCCAATGCCACTACAATAGCACTTCCCCTATGTTGTGCCTATTAACCTTTTAATCCCCAAAGTGCATGTAGACACACTTTGCCGCGTTTATAGGCGTCAGCCTTTCTTTAGACCAGTTAATCATATTATTTAAGTCTGCCTGAAGAGCACCTGCGTCTAAGCCTTCAGTTATTACTCGACAGACCTTTACGTTGTCAGCGTATAATAACATTTGAGACTGTACTATACTTGAGAGATTATTAACATACATTATAAAAAATAAAGGACCTAGGACGGAACCTTGGGGTACTCCACTAAGTACTGGTCTCCAGATGGAGCACTTGGAATTTATTCTTACTTTTTGCCTACGACCTACTAGGAAATCCTTAATCCATTTTAAAAGAGGTCCGGCAATACCAAGGTTTGCCAACTTCAATAGCAGTCTATTAGTTGGCACCTTGTCAAAAGCCTTACTAAAGTCTATGTAGACAACATCCACTGAGTTTCCGTTGTCTAGCGCATTAATCCAGAGCTCCCTAGCTATAAGGAGGTTCGTTGTACAGGATAGACCCTTTCTAAAACCATGTTGTGCCATGTTCAGCAAGTTATTGGTTTCCATAAATGCTGTTATGGTCCGTTTGATTATCCTTTCCAGTATTTTAATTACAACACTGGTGAGGCTTACGGGTCTGTAATTTGATGGAACTTGTCGTAGACCAGTTTTATGTATGGGAGTGACGATTGCGTTCTTCCAGTCCATAGGTAACACACCTTGGTCAAGTGACATTTTGAATATCACAGTCAGTGGGGCTGCGATATATTCGGCAATATGTCTCAAGATTTTAGGGTGTAGTTCATCTGGTCCTGTTGACTTCTCCATGTTTAGGGTGCTAAGAGCCTTAAGCACATCGTTTTGGTCGAAGTCCACGGTGAGCAGCTGGTTTGTTGACTCTGTAATTGGGTCTGGTTCTTTCTCTAGAGGAGGTTCCTGAGTGAAAACTGCCCCAAAGTAGTCAGCCATAATCTCAGCTTTTTCCTGATCTTCCTCTATCATTTCAGATTCACTTCCTACTTTAATTAGGTTGGGAATCCAGTGATGAGTCCTTGTTCTGTAGTTTATGTACGAGAATATCCTCTTGGGCTGCTTGAGTGCAGATTCTGCCAGCTGCATTTCGTATTTTCTTTGCGCTTCCCGAATTTTAGTTATACACACGTTTCTTATCGATCTGTAGTGTTCCATCGTACCTGCTGTGCCAAGGCGGATGGCAACATCCCAGCATTTCTTCTTTTGTCTTAGTAAGCGTCGAATATCCCGCCCTAACCAGGGATGCCCGTGCTTCTTTTTCTTTGGGACAGTCCAGGGTATATATGGTTGAGTTACCCGATTGTATAACTGTCTGAATAGAGTCCATGCCTCTTGTACTGATGCCTTTGAGTCAATTTCCCAGTTCTCAGCCGATGCTGCGGAGTCAATTGCCTGCATATCTGCCTTCCATATGTTAGGACGGGCCGGCGCAATTGTTTGAGAAGCAATTTCAGACATGAATTTGAATAAGATGACTGCATGGTCACTTCTCCCAAGTGGTGGGAGAAAAGCCATTTGACCAACGTCCTCACCGTGTGTGAAGACTAAATCTAAAAGAGAGGAAGAGTTTCTTAAGTCGTATCTTGTGGGATCTCTAATGTGTTGGAATAATGCTAGTCCAATCGAGGTTTCTAACAGTTTGGAGTCGAACGACGATATAGATGACTCTACTTCTAAGTTAACCCAGTTTATATATGGTGCATTAAAGTCGCCTACTACAAGGCTTTTACCGTTGTTACACCAGGACTTAAGTTTACTGAGGAGAAAATCGTCTGCTACACATTCTGGACTGCGATAAACTACAACTAATTCAATATCTTGTCTTCGGCATTTCAACTTACATCTCACCAGTTCACATGTCCCTGAAACATGTGCTACTGTCTCAGCTAATCTTATGGTTAGGGTACTTTTCGTGTACACAATAACCCCGCCTCCCCTTCGGTTTAATCTATCAGCCCTACTGGTTATGAAACCAGCCAATTGGATTTCACTATCTAATACTTCTGACGTTAGCCAAGTTTCCGAGACAGCGATAACGTCCGGTTTTTCTTTATCCACCAGTGACTTCAGCTCCGCCATTTTATTTAGTAGGCTGCGAGCATTTGTGTAGCACACTTTTAAGTCTGTGGAGAGCTTTCCCTTGCCACCCAGAGTGGCTTGGGGATCATTTTGCTCCGAACTTTTACAATCTGAAAACCCTTAAGAACGAGGTTTCTTTCACCGTTTCGGCGACGCTCGTTTATTTCCGCTTCTGCAGCCCTTCTCTTAATACGATCAGCTAGGCTGAGGTCCTCACGGACATATATTCCAGACCCAATCAGTTTACGTGAATTACTTAGAACCAGGTTCCTTTCTTCCACCGTGTTGAATGTAACCTTTAGGAGGCGGTTTTTCTGAGGAATTTCGGAATCCACCTTTTTTCCTATTCTATAAAGCTTACAAATACTAACTCCTGAAACTGTATCTGGGAGTAGTTTACTTAATGATGTCTTAATATGATTGAGATCATGTTCAAATCTTGCCTTTGGTTCAGTGTCTGAAGATTCTCTTATCTTATGAAAAATGACTGATCTCTCAGAGAGATCTGTCTTTTCACGCGGTGAGGATTTTTCTTCTGATAAAGTCCCTTCCAATGTCTTGCTGACCAGCTGCGTTTTGCCTACAGCCTTTTTCTTCTTATTTTTTTTTCTTCTTACCGGAGTCCATTTGTCACCACTCAGAACAGCCACACCTGGACTATGTGGAACGGTGACAGTTTTATCCGGATCTTCGATTTCGACTAGAGGTGTATGACTGCCGATGTCAATATCAGGCGACACTTCATTTCTCGTTAATGTCAACGGAGATTTCACGTTCCCGTCAACCGCAGTCAGGTTTTTAATGGATCCAGTAGCAGCACTTACTACACTGACACATTCTTCATCGTCAGTACTCCTGTTGTCAGTGCTTCCGCCATCGTTTTTCTTGCAGGCCAAAGCCAATAAGCCCATAGCCTCCTGTATTAGTACCTTTTTATCCGTACAGCAAAACACACAAAGCCAATGCGAGTTAGGCTTCGAGCATCTTTTGTAAGCCGTCGGACTTAGTCGTGTACACATTTTGTGATACCACTTTTTACAGTCGTCACACTGCATTCCCTCCTCAACGGAGAACAAACAATTTGGTTGCCCACATTTGTGAGTCTTACCAACCATTGTAATTCGATTAAAAGGTTTAAAAAACAAAAAACGATAACAATGTGAACACAAGTCTTAGTCAAGGACTAAAAACAGGTACCCAGGACAAAATGTAGCAAAAAATTTCAAACTTTAACCAGAGAACTCTTAGTTAAAGTAGACCAAGAATGCTTTTTAGTGCGATAAGTACCAAAAGCAAGTATAATCACAACAAGTACAAAATTCACTGCCCTTTTTGAAATTCGCCACTTTAACGTCGCTTATATGTCTCCATAAATTATAGGCTCACCAAAGGTTGTCCAGTGTTATCTGTCTGAACGGTTTGGTTGCGTTGACTGACATTTCCCAGGAATCAGAAGTTTTGCCAATAGCATTAGACATATGTCTAATAGGTAGATTGGGATTTAATTTCAAACTTCATGAGAACATTATCTATACAGATAGTTGTGGTATTTGGGTGTCGTTATTCGTGAGCTTATCTATGTCACTAGGATGGTAGACCTAGTTTAATAATGCGGACCGGCCATGAATTAACCACTTAATTTATAAGATCTTACATAAAGTCAAGTTATCGTATGTGTTAACTCACCATATTGTGGTAGTCGATGGTACAGTTTGTAGGAACATTTTGGTGATATAAGCATGCTTACTGATATCATATATTTAATGTAAATGCGGATGAAATAGAGAAGGACCATGCCTGGATGTTAGTTTCTTGCAGCCTCACGTTGACCTTTTTGACCGCTCTTTTTCGTCACAGATTCAATGGCCAATGAGAAAATCCTTTAAGTTAGTATATGTTTAGATTTAAGAATTATTCGTGATAACGATTCATCTTTATATCGTTGTAACTACATGGTCTCTATTATTGCGTGTCATTAGTCTTAGAGGTATCATAGCCATCAGAAGGAAGTGGTTAACAATATTTTAAGCATCCTTAACACTTCTGGACATCCTCTTAAACACCTACTTAAGCTTAGTTCGCATAATAACCTAAGGGGTAACACCCAGAAACTGGAGACACAACATAGCGAAACGGAATATAGACATAACTTCTACTCCTTAAGAGCTGTCAAAAGCTGGAATTCGCTGCCGGCCGAGCTAGTCCAAGCGACTTCTCAGGAGTCCTCCAAGAGGCAACTTGACCTATTCTTAAGGACTAAGGACAGCATCACACTATGATTTACCAATTTCTTTTCCTCTTTTAGTGTTAACATACCTAGGTTCCTGCCTGGAGGATTTGGTGATCCCCTTCTACTAGACACGGAAGCCTGTTAAGCGAAAGCTTCTTCTATTCCGTCCACAACCATTTGAACCATTTGAACAGTCATCCAATCTCCGGCTGTTAGAATAATGATACTATGACTAGAAGTAAGAGTTGATGGCTTCATTATTTCACGTGGATATTACATTTTTCATTATGCCCTACCTGTTTGTGAAATGTTTGCGTGGTAAATAATATAAACCAAAACCACAATCCATTCCATTGTTGTTTGCACATTATGACAGGACTGTTTGGACGTTCTTTTGACTCAATTATCGGATGAGTGTATAATGGGGCTAGCACTGATAAAGGCATGTTCTTTTTCAGATATGATGCAATCTTCAACTAAACCAATACGATGTTTTTTCAGTAGATAATTACAAAGCAACAAGGAAGCTTTTGTTCACACAAAGAATGAACAATTATGTTGATTTCAATGATTTTTTTGGATTTACAGATGTTGACAGACTACCGAAATATGAAGGATCCAGAATATCAACCCAGCTCACAAAAAAAGAACAGATATTAGGTACATGAAATATGGAGTTCACAATCAAAAAACCCCCACTGAAAAATCCTCGAAATAAATTAGTCAGATTTGAGCTTAATCTGCTTGTTTACTTCACTTCATACTGTTAAGAACTAGAATAACAAGTTGTGGTTAAGATTCATGATAAGAAGTTCTGGTGTTATCACATCAGTTTAACAGATGGAAGTCACTCCAAAGGACTCAAGTTGCACTAATTTGAGCTAGATTCCTTTCTATGGCCAGAGAAATATCACTGGGCCCTAGCCAAATCTTCCGGCAGTCGGGTCACTGAATGTCAGACAGTTCACTAATCCTCGTCAAGTCCCAGGGCAACCAATGCGTGTCAGTTAACCGCACACCATGAACTGGTCCATGTGGTGGTTGCAATCTCTTCCTCGTACCTACTCTGACAAATATATAGTTATATCCTTTGTGCTACGCGGTCTTCCAAGCAGTCATAGTATCTCGATACAGTGAAGGGGTAATTCACGTCAGGTGCTGACCGCGAGATGTGACTTCGAAGTTGGCTGTTTCGTCACACTATTCCCGTTTAACTTGAGTCTGTCCCCAATCATTCGACACAGATCATCTACATCGGTGATCTGTAGGTTCTTCCATAGACTTTAATTTCACTCGCTGTCTATTTTGCACGAATTGTAGCGTCTCTGTAGCCCAGCCTGCTATCCTAGACTTTCAACTCATAATTTTACCCTCTACAATTTTGGCAAGACTAAACTTAAGTGTTTTAGAGTGCTTTCCACCATCAGCCCTTTTGTTGGAATATTTGGCAGAGGATGGTATTGTTCGAAAGGAGGTTGAATGAGTGGTAATTTCCAGGGGCTAATTATAGATTAGTATCACATTTATTCTTATAGTATAAGACTAAGTAACTAGATCAGAAATATTAATATCCCTATTACCATAAGGTTATCACTCTATCAACAACTTGCTATGTTGATGAGATTACGATAGTATCTGTGAACGGTGAACGGAGCAGAAGCCAGAAACGCAACGACATGATATGCTGAACTATTCCACTGTGCACCGGTCCTGCTAACTAGGAAGGAAAGACTAGGTTCGTCTGGAAAACATATATATTCTGCAAACAGCTGGAAGCACAAACTAACAACTTCATAACTCATGGGTGTATATACAGTAAAAACGTCCTTCAGATATGTCAAAAATGTCGTGCTAAAAGAAGAATCGAATCAATTACATTTAAAGTCTTTCCAGGTCTGTGGTTTCAATGAAGTTCACCATTTTAGTTGTTCTCAAACGTTAACTACAAAAGTACTTTTATAGATCATCATATACTAACTTAGATCACTTTTGGAAACCTGGAAATACTGGATGGACATTTTGTCTTAGCATGGGATTCATCGGCTGTGCGCACAAAAGTGTCGAACTCAAAACCTCTCTGGCACACGAACTCTTGATCTCTAGACCACTAAAACGACATCCAGAAGTAATACTGTTTAACTTCGACCAGTGCACGATATTGGCGACCATCCTCAATTAAGTGCAGTGGATAATTGTCTCTAACTGTCCAATAAAATACCGGATTCCCGAATACTAATGATATGCGTTATAGTATCGTCTAGTTGACTCAACTGTGTATATCAAGCTACAAGTTATTGGTTTTTGCAAAAATGTCCAACATAATATTATTATTACTATTTTTATTACTTTTTACATCATCTCTTATCCGAAAAATGGTTGTTAACATTAAGAACTCATACACACTTTTCCTGTACCCTATGTGCCTGGGTAAAATGAGACATTTTAAACCGTGTATAGTGACTGATTTCGTTGTAGCTTGAAACTAGGCTTGAAATCTTTCACTGGTAAATGGTAATAAAATATTATAATAAATAATATTTTCGGATTAGATCTTAGTGCTTGTTTTTCCTTTTCTTTGCTTTTAGGGTCTTACAGTATTATCCTTCTTCGTCATCACCTATTTGCACATATGAATTTTTAGTGGAGCTAAAAATTATCCATCTAAACATGTTTGGGCTTTACCCATCCACCTGATAGGTGATAAGTACAAGTGGTCTTATGAAATACCAACCTGAGTAACCTACTGTAATAAAGCCTGTATCATCTGTAACAATTTGATCTTACCTGTAAACTGGCATGCCTCATGTAACATATTGTTATTTAAAGATAAATTATTATTATCATTAAGTAAACTGAAAATGAGCAATTGAAATTTTCACCATAAAATTGCAAAACTGAGACGTTTGCCAGATTTTTTTGAGATCTACCATCCTCAAAACCTTCCGTTTTTAATAGCACATGTTCTTGAGGTTTACTTGCAACTTGGCTGTTTGTCGCTGCCGTCTAGATGGCTACCTTCTGGAATGCAGGTCAACTTGATTTTGAACTTCTTTTTATATTGAGTCTGAGGTTGAAGATATTCAGCAGAACTTCCAGCGGTAGATTTATGTTTCTCGAGAGGCGGTCTTAGGTCATCCGTTTCCGTAACTGGTCCCGATGTCGAGTCCATCGGTCTTTTCTTACATCCTCTTCACACATGGCTTTGTATAGCCTTTCGACCACATGTGTTTCGATACAGGAATTGTAGTTTTTTCTTTAGTCACGTTTGAACTCCGGACATCGAGCCCCGTAGTTTGGCAGCCTCAGGGACTTAGTCTCTGATGGTGTGTTTTTCAGTATTATCAGGCTGGTAAAATGTCGTTTCGTGTCGTTCGATAAACAGATTCAACTGGCGTTCTTCTTCTTTCAACTTGATTAGAGCACTCTTAAATGTTTCTACAGATCATTCACTTATTTGGCTATGGTTGGTGAGGAGGGAGAGCTGAAATATCTGATGGCTATCAGAATTCTTGAAACTGACTGGCAGTGAACTACGTGTAAGATCCGTTTTGAATGTTTGGTGTGTGTGAAAATCCCTCCATGTATACACTTGCACTTTGTTCCTATTGATCCCTTTACTTGTACATTGTTAGTTTTTTGATTCGATTGAATTGTTAATATTTGTATTTTTTTATTATGGTTTTTATTTTTCTGACGTCTTCACTAAGTTTTCGTGTTTCTTCCCAAACTGCATCTATGTTGTTTTACTTGTTACTTGTTCTTGGCGGCAGCCATATTGATTTGCTCCTCCTTTGGTGCGTGTTCTATCCAGTCAGGATAGAATAGCGTTCATTTGTTATGACTGGTAATTTTTCCTGCATCTTTTATCAACTTCTTTATTTATCGTAATTTAGATTTGATTGACTGAACAATTATTGGTTGAATAGCCAAGTGGTAATATTTGTTTAGGTAACGACGTACATTTAAATTTATGATGAATTACTGAACTGTCATTTACCCGATTACTTGTTTTGATTTTGACGGGCAAGGGGGCGTGTCTAACCTACCTGAACGGCTATTCTTCAGTCCAAACCGTAGTTTGGATTCTACACTACGAACCATGATCTGATACAAGGAAACCTTGTTCAGGAGTTGCAGGATTTTGGTCGTCTTTGGTGGCGCGGTTGGAGTATTCCAGGCAATTTTTAAGACGCATCAAATGGAGCCAATTAGTTCCGTTGAGTCAGAGAAGTCGACATGTATCCTGGACCAAGGGCGTTCACGCTGTGGCCACTAAACTGGCGTTACTATAGTGTTATACCTCACCGCTTGTTGATGCTGTGTGGAACTGCCTACCAATTTCGTGAAGTGCTGGTCCACGAGTGGCCAATATACAGAGCCCCGGGCTATGCACTTTCTTTGTTTTACTCCAAAATGACCAACGTGAAACTGCCTCAGCATCTTTGATTTTGTAGTGGCATTGAGCCCTAACTACATAACCATCAAAGCTGAACATGAGACAACTAGGAAAATAGATAATAGACATTTAACGCGGAGAAAACCCAGCAGTGGGGAAAGCGGGAACATTAGTTGATTGAATCCAATCGGGTGACATGGCTCAGCCTTGCAGGCGTGATCATTCTGCATAATTTGTT